AGACAAGACGAGAGAAAGGCACTCTTGAGCGAGAAAATAGTATTCTCGACGAGATGAGAGCCCCATTTCTCTCGCAGCACGAGACCAGACGAGAGAAGGACTTTTCTCGTCTTGTCTCGTCTCGCGGCATCACTAAGATAAACGTTCACCACGGGGGGTTTCGTTCAAACCTAAGAGTTTGGGAATCATTAGTAATGCTAAACACAAAAGCAGTTATAGTAACTACAGGGTGACAGAGCGGGCAAAATGCCACGGGCCCCCGGCCTAAGGGGCCCCGGCCCGAGATGGCCGCGAGCACAGTAGGGCAAACCTGTATTTCAGATTTCAGTATACTCTGTGAGATTTAAGTATAATCTTTAGCAAAATGGCAGCAATAACTTTTTTGATAAATTGGGAGTTACTGTGCTACCAAAAGAAAAAAATTCTTCTGTAAAACGTTGACAAAAGCGTTTTTAACGACAATGTCACTATAAATACCTAAATATATATAAATATATACAGTGTGTCCACGGATGGACTTAACTATACTTGTAAAAATATTTATTTTCAATTTTTCGAAGAAAAGTCACTTTTCATTATTTCTTCTGCTTTTTATATAAATACCATTTAAGATGAGAAACTTAAATTTTGTTATAGACAGACTTGCCAGGGTCTCGGGGAATTCTCAGAATCTCCGTCTATACAATGTATTGCCACAGGCTTTCAGAATATTGGATTATGACAAATTTAAATCAATAATCAAGAAAATTCTTTTAACTTATTGTTTTTATTCTGTGGATGAGTACCTAGTAAAAACTTCCCTCATTGATTTTTCTGCAACTTTTTCACATTCTTTTAAATAACTTATTGTTTGTGTTAAATGTAGATTTAATTTGTGTTAAATGTATTTTTTTTATTTTTTTTATTTATACTGTAATATTCTATATTTTATATTTTAAACGACTTGCCAAAAATGTATTCATAAGTTGACAACTTAAAGTTGGTCAAATAAATTAATTTGAATTTGAATTTGAATTTATACAGGGTGCGCAAAAAAATACAATTGTAATTTTGAAGTTTTAAATTAAAACTTTTAATATGAAGAGCTTGTAAGGAGAAACCAAAAAGCCAAATAAAGTTTTTTTATGTGAGTTGTTGCTACCAAGTTATTTGTAATTAAAAATAAAACCAATTCAGGTCCTAACTTGAGTGGTCCTATTATTTTGTAAAAATTGACTGCTATCTCATTTTGTGATTATGAATCAAGGTTGTTGCTTTCAACTTACATGTCTACAATGTCTACAATTATTTGTTAATATTTGAAAACTAATATCTTACATTTTCAATATCAAATATATTAGTATCAAAAACTCATATAAAAAAACTTCATTTGACTTTTTGATTTCTCCTTACCAGCTCTTTATATTAGCGCTTCAAAAAAAATATTTAAAATTTTTTAAACTTTGAAAATCAGTATTTTTGCTTACCTTGTACAACTAAATGGATGTTTCTCAACGTATTTATATAACAAGCAAAAGAATTTTTTTTCTCAAAACACACTGTAATGTTCTGCTTGTCGTATGAAAAAAATACATTTTATCTACTCCTACTTTATGATGTTTTAGTCACGGGCTGAAGTTGGCAATATTGGCTTTTGAGCATTTTAATCACGGGCTGAAGTTAGCTTTATTATAAATTAGGAAAAACTGAGGTTAAATCTGTTTAAAGTTGACAGATGTCAAATGTAAAACAAATAAAATTGGCTTTAAATTGAATTTAATAAATTCTTCTTTGTGTTCGTCGTAGATAAAATTTAGTATGCAAATCATTTTATAAACTTCTATAGACACTCTTTTTTATTAAAAACTCGCTCGCAAGCTCGCTCAACTTGTTCAATTCAAAAAAGTTTAATTATACGTATTTAATAAACATCTTTCTTTGCGTAGGTACTTTTCTTTATCCATTAACCAATTATCTACTACTATTTTCCTATGACACTGTTTTAATTACTTCGCCAAGAAAGTTATTTCAAAACCCAGGGCAAAATTGAACTTCTCTTAAGCCTGTAATGACCTGATACACGGCGTTCTCTATTAGGCATAGAGAACGCCGTGCCTGATATCTAATAGCCGACTGAAATCTGAGTATCATAAATGTTTATAGTTGCAATACGTGGGTTGATAATGAACATACAGTTGGTATAATGTTATATAGAAATTCCTTTGGTACAAAATATCATTAAATATTCGCTGAATCTTATCCCTTAGCAATGATACTTGTTTTATTGTATTTTGCGTCGAGAAAAATGGCTCACACTTTGCATATGCCAAATGTGTGCTGGCATTGTTTTTATTTTAGAAGCAATAAAAGTCAGATCAACAGGCAATTTCTTTTGGACGTGCCTTTCTCTAACATATCGGTATCTACCCTTGGTGTGCATTTAAATACGACCTTTTCCTCTGTCCTTTCTTGAAAGATCTAACATAAAAATCGTCTACTAAAAGGTACAGTTTGGTGTTTAATACCTTGGGGCATTGTCAATATTAAAATTAATGCTTTTGAGTTTTGAGGTTTTTAAAGAAATTCGTCTTAAATTTGTCTCACTCTTACTCGTGGCATATAGGAAATTAAGGAATATCCGACACAATACATTATATAAGAGTTGAGCCAGCCACTGTGCTTACGTATCTGTCAATGTGTTTATAAAAACAAACGGAATTGTTTGAAAACTTTCAGGATATAGCACGAAATTAGTCACGATAAGAAAATCTTGAAAACATTCTGGGTTGTAGTTGAGTGCGCTAATAGAACATTTACAAAGTTTCTGTAAAATTGTCTGACTGGTTTTTGAGTAAAAAAAATTAAACTTGCTAAAAATACTTGGCATGTGTATAAAAAATATTTTTGATTAGTCAATAAATTGTTTTTTCTACTCCCACCTTTAAAACGCGTTGGCGTGCATGTTTCCAAAGCACTAGGTGATCTTTTAAATATACATTGACAAGTTGTGGCTATATGGCGTTTTGTCACGGGCTGAAGTTAGCCACAGGTTTTTAGTCACGGTTTTATTTAATAAAAAAAAAGTTCGGTTTAACTGCAGCATTCTAATGAATAGTTTAAAATTTTAAAATTAAAAATTATACTAAACCACTTCAGAGTTCTCTTTAAATTAAATAGGTGCCATTTTAATGTCGTACAATATTAAATTATATAATTCGATACTATAATTAATATTATAATTACTGTTTGCTAATAAACACAAATACAGAACTGGCGAGCAAGATTAATTATCAGTTTCCATTTTGTGTTTCCACTACAGACCTGTCATTGTCGTACCATTAATTTTATTATAAAACTAGATAGAGCAAACTAATTATTTTTGACAATCCGAAAGTTGTTCAATTATTTTAGCTGGAGATTTGCGGTCAAATATCATATTAAAAATTATAACATTTACAAAAGTGATTTTAAAATATTACAAAGCTTAATTAAAAGAAAATCATGAAAAATTATAAAAATTTAGGAGGGCTAAAATGACAAGCTAAAAGAACGATTAGATGAACTAAAATGACTAAACGCTAATATGACAAGTGTTTTCAATTCTAAAACATGTGTTAAATGCAATACTGGCCTGCTAAAAGGACAGCAGACATTTTTGATTGTTTTATCCTTAAAATTGTACATACGTCTTGCTTAGCAGGGCATAATAAATATTATAATATTATAAGTAATAAAGGTTAAATTTTTTTTCGTATTTTTAATGGAAACATCTTTATTTAAGAGCATTTATTGAGAGAAAATAGTAAAGAAAGGTACTAGTTTTATGGTTAGCAACTCCTTTCTATAGAAAAATATTTAATTAATTAATAAAAGTGTTGCCAAGCTTTATAAAGCTTGGCAACACTTTTATTAAGGAAATCTTAAAAATCGTAAAGAAAAGCATATCAGTTTTTCTACGACCACTATGTAAAAGTCACTTTTCATGATGGCATCCTTGCTTAGAAAATGAATCTTTTCATTGGCAAGGCAAAACCCGAATCACAGAACATAAGAATGTAAAGTGACATTTCTGTGTGAAAAGTGACAGGTCTGTCAAACACTTTTTAGGTTATTTTTTGTTGTATTTGGAAATAATAAAAAATAAAAGGGTCGTAGAAAAAATATTGTGTTTCACTTGTGAGAAAAGCTTTCTTCAAGCTCGTGTTAATGCACACTCGGCCTGACGGCCTCGTGGGCAACTTAAAAACTCGCATGAAAAAGTCGCTTTTCAACACTTGTAAAACAAATAACTATTTTCTACGACCACTACGTAAAAGTCACTTTTCATGATGGCATCGTTGCTTAGAAAATGAATCTTTTCATTGGCAAGGCAAAACACGAATGTAAAGTGACATTTCTGTGTGAGAAGTGACAGGTCTGTGTGAAAAGAAATTGACAGCATCGTTTGACATTCAGCTGTCAAAAAAGTTTTTAGGTTATTTTATTTTGTATTTAAAAATAACAAAAAATAAAAGGGTCGCAGAAAAACCATTGTGTTATACTTGTGAGAAAAGCTTTCTTCAAGCTCGTTTTAATACACACTCGGCCTAACGGCAACTTAAAAACTCGCATGAAAAAGTCGCTTTTCAACACTTGTAAAACAAATAACTATTTAAGGTTAGAACGTCTATCTGACAGATATCAGATTGTCTTTCTAGTAGATGACAGTTGTATACGAGGGGCGACTATAATCATCTATGATGATTTTTATTTTAAGGGTTTTTTATTATACTTAAAATACATAAAAACAGCATGTTCAATGCATGAGAAAATTGAGATTTCTATCTCGTGAAAATTTTCCAGTTAATTCCAGTCAAAAGAAAACTTTTTCAACGAAATAATTTGTTAAACATTAACAAAATAATCTGTAACAAATCTGATTTTTATAACAGTCTAACAATTTAAGAATCATAAATTAATTATGATAATTAATTCTTACACTTCATTAAACTGGATTTATTTGAAAATTCTCTTTTTTACAGACATTTTCATTGCCTTTCGACAAAGTACCTGTGCCCAGGCGTTCCAGCAGTCATGAGCATGCTTCTGGCTAATATTAACGCATACTACGCACACACCACAGCATCATCAGCAGTCTCTGCAAGTGATCGATTTGCAGCGTCAAACTTTGGAGTAAGTCTATTAAACCAAAAAAACAATGTTATATTTAAAATTTTATAAATACTACGTGTCTCAACTTTTTTTCTTAAATTTTTATGAAAAGAAATAATTTGTATCATAATTTTATATTTTCATAAAAAAACACAGAAAATTATTTAATTGCAGGGTGTCCCAAAAATGGCCCACCCACGGTATACCACGTTGTAGAGGTTTTAATGTTAAATATAAAAAAATTACAAATGTTTTTTCTGAGAAATAGTTTTCGAGTTGTAAGGGTTTAAACATTTTCTTTTCTTTTTTAGGAATATTTTTTTTCTATAAAACAATTAAAAACAATATTCTAATGATAAAAATAAAGTTAAAATTTGTAACCAATAACATGGATGTAATGATTTGGTTTTCTGACAAAAACTTTCAATCATGCAAATTTAAAACAGATGCCTTGTTTATTTTGTTTTTATAACAACCTTACGGTTCAGCAGGAACACAACGTTGCAACGCGTTTCCCAGGTTTTTAAACTTATATAGGGGGTATTCAATGCCAAATCGACCACTTTTTAACCCGACCCCTTTCGATATGGCCAAAAGTTTTCAATTCTTTTCTACCCTTTGAAAAACAATTTTTTTCAAATTTTTTATCCAAACCCAAAAAAGTTTTAAATTTTTCAAAAAAATAGGTTTTTTATTTTCAAATAGCCATAGCTTTTTCAAAAATTAACCTTTTGGTATCTTTTTTTTTTTAAATTTTTGTTTTTCGAAAAAATAGACAAAAAAATTTTACATGATCAACTCTATGAAATTATGACTTTTTTAATAAAAAAAACTTCAATTAATGTTACAATTATTCCCGCCAATCCCAGAGTGGGCCGATTTTTTTTCTATTTTTTCAAAAATGAAATTTTTGTTTTTTTTTACAAACTATTTATATAATAAAATAAATGCAATTCAACAATTTTAAGGTATTATATTCTCAATTTATAGGCTTAAGCTACGATTATACTGACTAGGATTAATGATTATTACAGTTAAAAAAAAATTGCTTTTTTCAAAATTAGACAATCTTTTTTCAATTAAATAAAAAAAAAATAGAAAAAAAATTTGCCCACTTTGGGATTGGCGGAAATAATTGTAACATTAATAGAAGTTTTTTTGAGAAAAAAAAATAATGGCAAACTTCGCAAAAATAACGATTTTATTTAAAAAAAGCGATAATTTCATAGAGTTCTATTTTTTCGAAAAATTCATTTAAAAACAAAAATTTCAAAAAAAAAGATAGCAAAAGGTCAATTTTTGAAAAAGTTATGGCTATTTGAAAATAAAAAACTATTTTTTTGAAAAATTTAAAACTTTTTTGGGGTTGGATAAAAAAATTTGAAAAAATGTTCAAAAATGTTTTTCAAAGGGTAGAAAAGAATGGAAAACTTTTGACCAGATCAAAAGGGGTCGGGTTAAAAAGTGGTCGATTTGACATGGAATACCCCATAGGTAGGTATCTACTTAATAACTCGAAATCTGCTTCTCTGATTTTTTTTTAACTTAAAATAACCCATTTTCAGCGTGGTATGGCATATTTTAGGCATTTTCGATACACTCAGTACAATAAAAATCTTTAAATTAAAATTACTTACTAAGAACAGAACAAAAATCATTTTTCGAAAAAACAAATGTTGATTTAAAAGAAATAAAACTTTTAGTAAATGGACCGTTTTCGTAAGGTGAGACACTCGGTATATAATACTTTATTTTAAATATACTTGGCCATTACGGTGGCCCAAAATAAACCGGTTTTTTTGCGTATACAATATGGTCAAAATATTGATCCTATGAACTTTTTAAGACGACACAAAAGTGTTTATTTCATATCTTTTAAAACTATTTTTATTTGTTCATACTATAAACTCTAAATTGATTACAAAAATACAAATAAAGAATGTTTTTGGATATAAAATAAACACTTTTTTTGGCCCACTTAAAAATTACACAAAACCCACAATGTGGGTTGTTATATATGTGGCTGATATATGTATATGTGGGTCCCACATATATATCAGATTTTGACTTTTCAACGACTATATGTTAGTTTTTCGTGTTTTAAGAACTCTGTCCAAAAATCAGTTCGATGAAAAAAATTGTAAAGGTCCCTCAAGAATTTTTAAAATTCCAGTTTTTGTTTAATTTTATTTGCTCGCTACGATAAATTGTTGTAAAATTTATACATTTATTTATTATTACATTAAATTATCCAATTTTTTTTTAATTAAAAGCAATGAATTTATAAGCATAAAAAAAAAATTATCGAGCAAATTTTTTTTTAATTCAAATTTTGACTATTTTTGTAATTTTCAAAATTCGAGAGCGACCCCTAAAATTTTTTTATCGAGCTGATTTTTGTGGAAAGTTATTTAAATATGACTAACCAACATATTTTCATTGGAGACTTAAAAAATAATCGTTTTTGGGGCCACCCTGTCTTAACATTAGTAGAATTTAATTCACTAATTTTTTTATTGGTACATTATTACCAGGGACCTGAGGAGGTAAAATAGTAAAAAAAAACCTATTTGAATTTAAGCTAATATTACAAATATTGTAATAAATAATGTTGTTAGCTCGCTATAGTAATATTAGTGATCTTTAAAGGGTTGTTTGGTTTTTTGTTTAACATTTTTTTAAATAAAATTTGCAAAATAATGACTGTATAAGATGATTTTAACCGTAAATAAAAATATTATTATTTTTATAATATATTACTTAAAATGCCAAGAAACTAAAACGAACAAAACGAAAATCTTTTAATAAATAATTGATGACAAGGTAAAGTGACAAGCTAAAATCAATAAGCCATTACTTATAGATAAATTATTTTGCTGACAAATTAAAATAAAAAAGGACAACGAGCTAAAATTACGAAGCAAATTACATGCTAAAAGACTCGAAGTTAAACAGTACAAATTGTGTATTTTATTTAAAAAAAAAGATTTGTAACTTTTTAGTTTTGATTTAGAGTTTTAATAAGTAGGTATTGGCTTTATAAGGGGATGTCCATAACGTTCGTTACACCTTTAAGGAAAAGGGGGTTTACCATTTGTGACTAAGTGTGACATGGAGAAAGAAATTTTACTTTGCGTGTTTTTTAAACTTATGTAAATGCCAAATAACTCGAAACTACTATCAAAAATTCGTTATGCTTAAAATAGGGTAAAATGTTAATATTTCTTAATGTGTTTATTTTTAATAAATTAGTTATTATAGACAACTACTAATGCAATAATAATATTCTCTTTTTTTAACTTATACTTGTATATATATTCAACTTTATTTTTCTATTAAAGGCATTTTGATTTTTAGGTGCAAAGAAAATATTTATTTTGTCAAATAAACTTAAGTACAGTAATAACGAAAACCAATAATTAGTAACATAATACTACTCGCTATGCTACCCCCGTATCTCGAATATTAGGATATTAAAAACAATTTTGTTATCGTTGTTAACAATTAAGATGGTATTTAGTTCTTTATACTTAACATTATATTGTTGCTTATAAAAAAGCTTAGTTCCCATCTAGACAACCGAAAACAACAAGTTTTTGTAAATGATAAACTTTCTGATACCTTAACTGTGTTACACAGAGTACCTCAAGGGTCCGTGCTAGGACCTCTTCTATTCATCATTAACATTAATGACCTCTTCTTAAATTCGCTAAGTAAAAAATGTATGGGTCGCTGACGATGTCACCATACTTGACAGCAGCAAAAATTTAAATTTACTTAACTTTTTCATGACTACAAAACTAGAAATTATAATAAAATAAGGCCTTCCAAATTCAGACTAACCAAACCTATAAAAAATACTGTAAATTGTAATTTGTATAATCATTTAAGTAGTAGTATTTCTAAATGTAATGTTTTTAATCTTTTAGATTTTAAATTGTTGTGTTATATATTTATTTTTATTTGTAATATTTTGAGACTTGTCAAAAACATTGTATGTACGAGCCCTAACCACATAATGTTCGGACACTTCATAATTTATACAGAAATTTTTTTCGTGAATACTATCTCAAAATTATTAGAAGTTATGAAAAATTCAGCTTATTTTGGCATATACCCCTCGAAGCGATTTTTATTTTTAAAAAGTTTACCTTTTATTTTTAGCTTTTAAAAAAAGGCTAACTTTTTAACTTTTTTTTGTATGAGTAAAAAAAGTTATAAATGGACCCATTAAAAAGAGCATAAAATATTATACAAACCCTGAAAATTTGGTAAAAAATAAATAAGTTATAAAAAAGTATAAGTAATTTAAAAATGCTATTTTTAAAGAGTTTTTGCAATTTTCTTAGGAAACGGGAGATTTTGCAGATATATATATCGCTATAACTTTCTTATTATTTATACAATTTTTACCAAATTTTCAGGGTTTGTATAATATATATAATATATCATAGAGACATTGACGCAGTTTCTTTAAACTTGCCGGTTGTTTCTATTGAAAGAGATTTTGAATATTGTGCTATTAAATTAAAAATTAAAAATGCGCGATTTAATGTGCTTACTTTTTATAGAGCCCCTGACGGTGATTTTAACGTCTTTTGTAAACAATTGTCTCATGTTTTGGATTTGGTCTACCAACCATCGTTTGAATTAATCATTAATGGCGATTTTAACTTGGATCCTACAAGAGATATTCAAAAATACACAATTTTAAATAATATACTAAGTACTTTTAATTTAAAAAACAAAATCTTAGCTCCTACAAGAGGAGATTATATACTTGATCATGTTTATACAAATACTACGATTGATTGCATAATATCCGAAAACACAATTTCCGATCACAGAACTGTAATAATAAAGCTTATTACTAATTTAGAAAAAAAAACAATTACAAAAATTAATAAAAGATATTTTTCTTCTAGCCAAATGGAAAAGTTTTACAGTTACCTTCAAAATGAAAGTTGGTTAAGTGCCTTTAACTCAAAAAGTGCTGATCTAGGATTTAAAAATTTTCATGT